CAGGGGCACAAGGCGAAAGGCAATCCCTGCTCCGCAGCAGCCCGAACTGCAGCCGTACTTCAATCACTCCTGCACGTCACTTAAGACTGATCCTAAAGGCTATTTTATTATACAGAGGAAGAAAGAAAAAGGTCTATTTTTCAAAGCTATATTATTGAATGTATATATGTACAGGCAGGTCAGTGAGTGATGCGAGTGCCTCGATACCGACCAGTGTTCTCCGGGAGCGGGCATGGCCACAGCCTGCTCGTGCCACGACTGCAATATTCCCACTGATGGGACCACACCAAGTGCCCTTTATGTACAGGCACGATGCTTGTGCAACCCCAGCCCGAGGAAGCTGCTCCAGAGTGGGCCAGGGAGCAACTTCTCTGTCTGAAATGGTTTTACATGCAAAGCCCTGTGGGTCACGCCTAAGTTAAAGCCATATTGCAAAGCACAAGGTAAGAGGAGCCTCAGCTCCAAGGTGAGGCGATTGTCTGCACTGTGTTAATGCCAGACACTAAAATCATGGCCAGAAAAGGCTCTCAAGCCCTCGGAGGCATAAGCTATGCAATGGGGTGGGCAGGTGGAGCTGCGATGCTGCCAGGGCCGAGACCGACCCTCTCCACCAAAGCACCAAAGAGCTGAGCCCCGAAGCAGGTCCTGGCCCTTAACCCAGGGGTGCACGCTCAGAAAACACTTGGGTTTGCTCTTAGGAAGGCAGAGAAACCCCCTGGCTACTGGTATAAGATGACAGGGAGGCACCAGGGAGCAGGGGCTGTTCCTGGGCAAGTGGGAAAACGATGTCCAAGTTATTCCTTGGACATGATGCATTCAAAGGGCTGGAACTTGGATAAGCACTTATCTTTTATTTTCCCCCTTTAAAAACAAGTCCCGTCCCGTCCCCTCTTTTTTTCTAGCTTAAAAAAGCCAGGCTGCCAGGTCTTGGTTTCCTAAAACAAGAGGAGGTTGGGATGGCAAAGCACATCCCAACCTCATCCCAGCACAAGACAGCACATCCTGCCCCTGCCCGTGCTGGACCAGGGCTGTTTCTCCTGCCTCTGCCCCTTCCCTGCCTCAGTTTCTCCCATGTACAAATGAGTTTCAGTATTCAGCTACCTCCCAAGGGGTCATGGGGAGGGGGAACCACAAACCAGCGGAGGAAAAAGCACTTAGTGATGGATTTCCCTCACCTTCAGCAGCCTTGGGGGACCCCTCACATGGTTCTGCCTCTGCAGTGTCTTAAACCGCAGCCTGGTATTGACTACGACGTCTTGTTGCTGCCACAGCCTCCCCAGTTGTGCTGATGCTGAGTTGTTATATATGCTTGCTGCACTGTGACAGTATTATATGAAAAGCTTTGTATTATTAATTACACTACGTTTTTGTTGGTCTGTTTACATTTACAAGCAAATGACATATCAACAGAGAGCTTCCTGCAATATACCTGGGGGAGGGAGGGGAAAAGTATGCCAAAGAAGTGACTTTAAAGGGGTCTGGTTTGCCTTTTTCTATGAATAGAATGTTTCTAGCAGATATGTTCTGTTTAATATATTAAAGATTTGCCCATCTGCCAAGATCTGCTGGTGTTTCTCACGAGGACAACAGGTTGCCAGGAATGGGGAGGGCACCGAGCAGCAGCACTGCACACACACAGCCCAAACCTGCGCCTGTGCCACGATTCCCATTCCTCAACTAACCTCTCAGCAAGGGAAGGGGTCTCCTTGATCCTCACAAACCCATCCTGCCAAGGGGGGCGAAGCACAAGAAGGTGAGATGGCCCCAGGAAAGCCGGAGCAGTGCTATGGAAAACCAGCAGCAGTGAACTTGTGAAGCTGAGACCTTCCCCTGGGCATCCCCCGGCTCTGAGTCCATGAGCTCACCACATTGTGCTGCCCCACAGGGCTGGGATGAGCCAAAACACCTTCTACCAGTGAAAAGGAATCCAGAAACCGTTCCAGGCACCTGCTTTTTATTTATTTCTAGCAGAAATATAACAACCCAAAGCAGACACTCCATAAAAAGCCCCATTTTGGTCCAGAACATAGAGAAGGACATCACCCACCCCATCCCAACCTGCTCCTTTGGGTGACTGTCCCTGCAGCACCCTCTCTTCGGTGGGCTGGTCCCACAGTCCCTGCACCTCCAGCAGCACCATCCTCTGGATCCTGCTGGAGACAACCACCTTCACATCCAAACCTTGGCCTTCCTGAAGGCCTGGACCTCCTCTGGGCCCCGCAGGTACTGCTCGATCTCGCTGTCGGAGATGGGCTCGTCGCCGGTGATGGCAGAGTCGGAAGCGCTCGGGGCTGCCGT